AGGTGGCCCTCTCCCCACACCCCTGGGCTGCCAAGCCCACTGGCTCCTCCCGGCCTTGGGGCCTCTGTCACGCTGTCCCCTCTGTCATGCTGTCCCCTCAGATCTCTGCCTGGCTCACTGTGTTTATCATCCAGCAGGACTTGGGGCCGCCTCCTCTAGGAATCACACAGCGGAGGCTGCAGCTCCCAGCCCAGCCGGCCCACCTGTCTGGACGGCTCCCCCGTCCCCTTCATGCCCACTGGCCTTTCAGGAGGTGACTTCTGCCTCCTTCTGCGGGTCCCCAGGGTAACCAGTGGGTCACAGGCAGTGCACAAACTCCTGGCTTCCCCACAGCCCTCTCCCCTGGCCTCCCCACTGACCCTGAGCTCTGAGGCACCTGACATCCAGAGTGCCACCAAGACACATTTCAGGACGGGCGGGAGCGGGGCAGGGAGGAGGGGGCCGGGTGGCGCCTGGGGGCAGAGGCCAGGCCTGCCCTGCTCGTCCGCGGTCACGAGGAAGGCCCAGCTTTGGGGCAGGGACTAGCCAGGCGGGAGGGCACCAAGTGTCTTCAAAAGAAGGAGCAGGCACAGAGTCTGGGGAAGGGCTTTTTCCTACTTATGAACGTGAAAGTTGAGGACATGCCGTTTGGGTCCCCGAACCCTGGGCAAGCCTGGGACAGAGACGACGGGGCCAGGATTTGGAGCTCAGGTCGTGGAGAGCCGTGGGGGGCGCGAGGCCCTGGGCTGGCGTGCGGGGACTTGCGGGCGCAGGAGGAGCTTGCCCCCCCCACCCCATCTCCCACCTCAGGCACCAGAACTCCCTCGACAGCCATCCTTTTCCATGCCCCGTTTAAAAATAAAATAACATTTATTTATTCTACTTAGAGGGGTGAAGCCAGTCGCCGTGGAAAATTTGGAAACCACAGGAAGAGCAGGAAGGAACCTCCCAGCGCCCCCTCCAAAAACACCCCGAACTGCCGTGTTTCAGCCAGAGCCCTGCTCGCCCTCTGCAGCTGAGGAGCTGGGCTGAGGTTCGGTTCTGGGTTCACGACTGCCCTCGGGCTTGCCTTGGCTGCGGCCGAGTCCTGGGGTGGGAAGGCCTTGGTGGACGTGGGTGGACGTGGCCGTGACTTCCGGGTGCTTCCGAAGGGCTGCCTCTCAGCGCATCCGCTTGGGTCCCATGTGTCCTAAGGGATGAAACCTTCCCGAGGCCTCACCTGGGGCGAGGTGAAGGTTCTGATGCCTCCTCAGGCCTCCATCCGAGCTCCCAGGGCCCCTCAGCACCGATGCCTCCATCCGGGGAAGGCCTTTAACGAGGCTCCACGGGCTAGAAGGGCCCATCTTTCCGGGACCAGCAGCGTCCCAGAGAGAGCAGCGGTGGCTACCAGCCTGCAGGCTGTCCTGGTGTTGGCTGGGCAACCCCGGCTCCAGTCTGTCTTGAGCACCCACTGTGCGCCAGCTTCATGTTTGCTGCCCGGGACACAGTGATGAGGGCTGGATGGGTTTCCTGGGGCAGCGGTAGCAAGTACCACGGACAAGGCGGCTCAAACCACAGTCATGTGCTCTCTCACAGGCTGGAGGCTGGATGTCTGGCACCCAGGTGTGGCAGGGCTGGTCCCTCCTGAGGACCTTCTCCTGGCAGTGCAGACGGCCGTCTCTTCCTATGTCCCTCGTGGTCGTCCCTCCACGTGCATCTGTGTCCCCAGCTCCCCTTCTCATACAGACATAGCCATTGTGGACCAGGGCCCTCCCAACGACCTCATTTTAACTGAATTACCTCCTTAAAGATCCCACCTCCAAATACGGTCACATTCCGAGGTGCTGGGGGGTGAGGACTTCAACTTGTAAGTTGGGGGGTTATGATTCAGCCCATGACAAGGGCACCCACCCCCCACCAGGCTGGGCTCCTGTCTGAGGCCCCCAGCTCCCTGAGGCTCCCCCAGCTCCCCCGCGGCTCCCCCAGCTCCCCCGCGGCTCCCCAGCTCCCCCAGGCAGGGTCAGAAGCCCAGCGGTGAAGCTGGGAAACCTGCCTGAAGACACAGTGGGGCTCGAATTCCCAACGCCCGTGCTGGCCCTTCTCGGTGACTTATGGAGGAAAAGCGCCTCAATATACCTAGCGATGATTTTATCTGCCCCTTAGGTTACAGTTAAATTCTTTTAATTTAAATTTTAAAAACTCCCCTGTGGCAACAGTGAGGAGCAGGGAGACAGAGTGAAGCCCCCCGGCTGCCCTTGGAGTGAGGATGGAGTGTGGCACTTCTGGGGTCACCGCCCCGTGGGCAGCTCCGGGCCCGGGAACCCGCGGAACAGCTGCTCTTCCCGCCCCGAGGAGCCTGGACGCCGACAGTTCCCAGCGACAGTATTTATTGCGTTAAGTACTTCACGGGTCTGGGGCCTGCTCCACGCTCACGGTGAACTGATTTCCCCGTGTGGTTTGGTTACAGATGCCAGCCAGCGGAGGCTGTGACGCCGGTGGAGGGGTCCTGGTGCCTGCAGTCTGAGACGGCGGGGTGTGGGCGCTTGCCCACGGGGACACCATCAGACATAGCTCTCCTCCCTTCCTCAGCTGCAAGGTCAAAGCTGAAACCACTGGAGGCTGTGCTGCCTTTCTGACGGTGGGGAGAGATGTGTGAGTCGGAGCTGGTTCCCAGGGCAGCGCCCTCGCAGAGCCGAGCACCCAGGACCACGCTTAACGGAGGATTTGTCATGGCTTCTCAGATCCAGTCTTTGACACACACAACGTTTCGTCAGTGCTCAGAGAAGTTCTTGGGGAGAAAAACAACAGAAGACAGCGCTTTCTTGTCTCCCCGTGTGAGCACAAGAGGACGGGTGTGGCTGGGTTGCCGAATGGACTCCTGGCAACGTGCTGTCTGCTGGAGGTACTGCCGGGGTCTCCTGCCGTGAGGCTCTGCTCTGCACACTTCATCCTTCGCTGTGACTTAACTCTGAGGCTGGACGGTGGCCACCTCTCCATCCCTACCCTCCTCCCCTTAGCCAGCACGTGCGGGTGCCCGGGGCAGGGGGCTGGCAGGTCCCGGTGTGCGGGCTGAGCCGGGCGGTCGGGGCCCCGGTCCGCGGGCTCTGGGCCCGTCAGGAGGCTGGCTGGCAGTTTCCCTGCAGCTTAAAGGGAGGGACGTGCCCCGTGTGAGAGGTGACTCAGGACGCAGCCTCGTCACCCCCACGGGCTCAGCTAATGGGGAGGGCACCACCTGCAGCATAGAAACATTCTTGATGCAGAAGGTTCGGGAAAGTGTTCTGTGGGAGCCTGGTGCTCTGAGGGATCCCATGAGAGGAAACCAGGCTGGCGACTCAAGGACCAGACTGTCACAGACGCTGCTGGGACGTCTCTCATTTGTTGACTTCAATGTCCCAGGACTTGGCATGACCAAAACCTGGGAATGCAGACGAAGTGTGTTAGTGTAGGAAGGAGCGTGTGTGCAAGGGCATGTGTA